TTAGGGAATACAGTTCCTTTTTTTAAAATAGAACATTCCTAATTTGGGGTTGTCTAGTGATAGGATTCACTGCTCTAATCTGCATTCCATATAAACGATGTCAAAGGTTTTTTAGGGTATCATATCTGGAGACACACAGGGTCCATCTGCTTGTTGCAGATGACTTCCAAGCAATAGCAAGTGGAAGAACAAAAAGAAAACCAAACAAGAAAATGAAGAATAGAGAAATCCTAAAAGAACACTGCTTTAGAGACAGATGATCTTCAGAATTATTAAGGTGTGGTCCTTTCTTTCTTTCTCTTTCTTTCTTTCTTTTCTTTTTCTTTTCTTTTTTTGACGGAGTTCGCTCTTGTTACCCAGGCTGGGTAATGGCACGATCTCGGCTCACTGCGACCTCCGCCTCCTGGGTTCAAGCAATCCTCCTGCCTCAGCCTCCTGAGTGGCTGGGATTACAGGCACGCGCCACCATGCCTAGTTAATTTTTTGTATTTTAGTAGAGACAGGGTTTCACCATGTGACCAGGATGGTCTCAATCTCTTGACCCTTGATCACCTGCCTCGGCCTCCCAAAGTGCTGGGATTACAGGCCTGAGCTACCGCGCCCGGCCTAAGTGTGGTTTTTTCATCTAATGCTGTGCAAAGCTTTAACTTAAAGCTTGTATCTCTGTTTTCATCTCTACTAGACATAGGAGAAGGCAACTAAATGTTTTGAGAAAAACCAGTTCATTCAGGGAACAGCATGGTAAGAAGCAGAACTCCCAGGAGACTTGTTGCTTTTTGAAGTGCATACATTCTTAGCTTGTGTATACATCTTAATTTTTGTATATTAACTGGCCAAGGTCTTATCTTTCAGCCTCTGCTCCAGTAGTTCAGCCCCACATTCAGGTCATACTGAAAGTCCTGCTGTCCTCTGCACACTCCAGATTCATTTTTTGCTTGAAATAGTCTTTTCTTCTTCCCTGATTAGAATTATCTTAATTTTTCAACATCTTCTGCTAATGTCATCCATTTCATGCAATTCCCAAGAAGAAGCAGACTCTTCATTTTTCTGTAATGTTTTCTACTGTCCCTTAGTGACACTGATGATGACAATGATGAGGCTAATAATAGTAACATCGTAGCAACTACAAATAATTGAGTAGTTTCCTTTGCCAGGCATTGTGCATATCCCTTTTCCAACAGTAGGATTGTTTATGCATCACAATTATCCTCATTTTTGAAATAGGAAAACTGAGATGCAAAAAGTAGTATGTCTAGGACCCCAGTCTCACAGTCTAATAAGCTATAGAATGAGGACACAAGTATGTAGGTCAAAGCCAGTACTCTGTTTTAAAATATTGAAGCAATCATTTTAATTTTATATATGTTGTATGCTGACAATAATATTGTTAAATTAAATTTACTTACAGGGAGACATACAGATATTAAGAGTACAATTCAATGAACTTAAATAAGAATGTAACCATCACCCCATCAAAATATGGCCCCACAAAGTTCTTTTATGCCTCTTCTCACCAATTCCCTCCCTCCAAACCAGAGACGAGCATTGTTGTGATTTCTATCATCATAAATTACTTTGGTCTGTTTTCGAATTTACTGTAAATGAATTCGCACAGTATGTGTACACTTTTCTGGTTTATTTCCCTTGAAATAATTAAAATAATTTTTCTTGAGAGTCAGCCATGTTATGTATAGCAGTAGCTTGTTGCTTTTTTTTTTTTTATTATAGAGGATTGTTCTGTTGTATAAATAAGTAATGGTTTTTTTCTACTCTCCTGTTGGTAGATGTTCAGATTGTTTCCAGATTTTGGTTATTATGAATAAAGATGCTATGAGCATTCTTGTACAAGCCTTTTAGTGGATATACACTTTCATTCCTCTTGGGAAAATGCCTAGGCATAGCATCATAGTATAGGGGTATGTCTCACTTTATAAAACTTCGCCAAATAACTTTCCAAAAAGTTATACCATTTTATGCTCCACAGGCAATGGTGTGAGTGTAAAAAAAAAGTGGTACACATACTGTGTGAGTTCATTTATAGTAAATTCAAAAACATACCAAACTAATTTGTCCTTGCTAACATTTGGTGTTGTCATCTTTTTAACTTAGCTATTTGAGTGGGTGTGAGAAAGCACTGTCGCCAGAGCCTATACTCTTAACCACTGCTTGATGTCATCACGGCCCTTTGCATTTTATACAGTAACTTGCACACATATCTCCCTAAGACTAACATAGTGCCTGAATCAGAATAAACTTAATAAGAATGCTCAATAAATGCTTAATACATTTGGCTTGGAACACATTCTCTGCATTTTTTTTGCCAATGTTGGATCAATAGTGTGAAAGAGAAGAGAGAGATGAGTGAGGATACTTAATATGGCAGATGTCTGGTGATGTATCCAAGGGCACACTGGCAAGGTCTGGGGACAGCTTAGATGAAAGAAAGTTCAAAAATAAGATTCTAGGTCTTGTATATCTCAGTATGCATTATAATCATCTGGGGAACTCTGAAAAAAAATGCAAATGTCTTAGCCCCAAACAAATGATGGTTATCTTGGAGGATTTCTACCCTAAAAGCCTTAAGCTGGAGAGTAGGGAATGCCTGGTCAATGATTAATGAAGTGTGTGCTTAGTCTCGCAGTTGGTTATTTATATGTGCATGTATGTTTACCTATCTATCCATATGGCAGACATTTGGATTGAGTTGATCTGGAGGTGAGCACAGTCACTGATCTTTTATAGATGTTCCCTAGATGGCACTCTTGGGCAGTCAGCATTTGAGCACTGACACAGTGGAATGAAGAAATAAGAGGTTTACCTTGATGATGATAATGTTGGTCTGTTTCAAAGAGGTAACAACCGGACTATGTCTCTCTCTGGAAGTGAGATTATCACATTTAACTACGTACAAGGATGGAACTACAGTTGAGTGACTGCCTAGCTGTCCCCTTTATCTTCTGCCAAGTAGACAGAGCCTTTGATCAGCAATCAAAGGCCACAGCACACTTGTGCTAATACCAAAGGCATTCCTTGTAGTCTCTTAATAAACTTACTTGGAGCCCTGAAGGCTGTCTACTCCAGACATGAATTCCCAACCCTGCCAAAATGATTTGAGTCTAAACGTGACAATCCATGATATATCAGGCAGAACTGAAATAATTTAACTTGGCTTGTCAAAGTCTAAAGCCGAAATTGAGTGATGCAAAATGGACAAATGAGGTCAGTATATTCTGAGTGGCATTAAGCTAGATGTTATAGCCAAGCTGTAAATCTGAGGGGCCCAGAGTCTAGCTCTTCTGAATGGTCTAGTCCTGAACTTCACTCTGAGTGTTCACTCTCATATAGCTACTGAAAGTGGCTCCGTAAGGCAGAGCCAGGCCTTACCTCACTCAGTGAGAGCCATAGATTTTTCATTTGAACAACTCTGTGAGTTAGACAAGGGAGTTCACTTGAGAATACTCCCATGCATTTTCTTTCCTCCCCCATGGGACAATTGTTCTTTGGTTTGAGATTGCTGTGAGGTGGGCAGGACAGAATTGAAACAATTCTTCCTCAGTTCTCCTTCAGCCTTCTTCTCATCACTTCAAACTTTGTTACCTCCTTGGAGGATGGAGGAGAGAGCTAGGAAAGAGGAACAGGGAAAAGTGAAGGGGAAAGGAATGTAGGAGAGAAAGGTAGTAAGGAAGAAAGAGAAAACAAATTCATGTGTGTACATGCACACATACACAGAAAGAAGGGAATCACAATTTCCGATCACAATAACAAATTAGAATCAGAACCTTTTAACTAGGAGGATCCTTACCTATCACAGAGTTAAACACCCTCATTTTACAGATGAGGAAACTGAATGCAAGAAAGATGAAAGGATTTATACAAAGTGACACAGTAAGTCAGGAGCAGAGTTAGATACGAGAACTCAGGTGTCCACCACCATCCACCTCCTTCAAAGTGTTTCCCAATAATTTCCATGCTACCTTATCAAGTCTCTAAAAAAACAAATAGCCTTCTGCCTGCTTCTCACCATCCAACCACACCAGAGCCTGAAAGGACATTTCAATGAAGTTGAATAGATGGTTTTGTTGGATGGGGATCTGAGCATCTGTGGGTGGGCAAAGTAGGCATTCTAATAAGAAGCAGGCTCATTTTTTTTTTTTTTTTACCTGACTGTAACACAAAACTTAAGTCTTCAAACCTTCCCAAGGCAGAGCTGTAGAAAGGGAAGAGTTATAACAGTTCTGATAATTAAATGGCAGTCCTAAGAGATCAATCATGTCTTCAGATGCCACATTGAAAAACCACTAACAGTGGCATTAATGTGCTTGGGTTACACTTATCAATCTGGATGTTTAATGCACTTCAACCATTTGTTCCAGGTCACCAGAGGTTAACAAGCCAATAGCGAATATAAACATAATTGTGTTTCATGAGCCTATGTTGTCAGCTTGAAGAACAGAGCAAAGCCTCATCAATAATCTTTACTTTCTTCTAGGAGCAAGCTTGTACATGTTGAGTAATACATTGATACTTACTGTTGTGTTTGAAGACTCTTATGGTTGCACCTGAGAGTCGGGCCCCAAGCACAAGTGATGTGTGGTTTAACTCATCACTTAAAATGAGGCATCCCTGTGCAGAAAGCAAGCACACGAAACACAAGCCAATAAATACACAAAGGAAAAACAACTTGTGGGGACAGGAAGACACTCTAAAACGTAGAACACAGGTTTCTAAAACTCACTTCAATTTTAAAAGGCCAAGAGTTTAACCTGGTGTCTATATGGATAAAATCATGTATAGCAGTTAACTCATGGAGAAGGGAATTGTTTAAGAGATTACATGTTCATTGCTACATTTACATATAGTTTGCAGTAGAGAAGTTCATCCAAGCTCTTCGTGAAGCACCAGGTAGATTGGTAGATTTTTGGGTGGTTATGAACTTGTAGGGGCATCTCAATTATTTCTACTGAAAGGCAGGGGTCTTTTGTGCAGGACAATTGAAGCTCTTCTGGTTCTCATTTTCCACTGTATTAACATCCCATGTAGGCAAAAACATCACTGTTTACAGCTAAAAACTTGGAAAAGTATGCATGGTGACTCAGTCTGAGGTATGTGGATAAAGTCAGTCTAACTTACTGCTTACATATTACTCTTTGTAAAATTATTTTTCCTTTTTAATTACACATTTCTAAATTGTAAAACTGTTTAAGCATACCAAAAATGCAGGCAAACGATGGCGGACCTGTCTTTGGTGCCCTTCCAGAATCTTTGAGTTCTCCTTTGTATTTCTGTAGTTTCACACATAGCATGTTTTGATTTTTTTTTTTTGAGGTAAAAGCCATAATAATTCCCATATATTTGTATTCTAGATATATGCATATTTATATTTTTTTCTGGTGGAACATTTGAGAATTATTTGTAAGCCTCCTATTTCACCATGCCTAAGAACAGGACATTCTCCTAGGAAAATCACAATTCAGTGATCACATCCAAGAAGTCCAATGTTTTTACAATTCTATCATCTGATAGACAGTTCGCATTTAAATTTCCCCAACCTTTCTAATGATGTCTTAATGCTTTTTATAGATGTTATCATTCCTTCCATGTTGTTCAATGCAAAATCCAGTCTAAGACCGTACACTGCACGTAGCTGTGATGAGACAGATTTTCAAAGGCATAAATCTGATTGATGTACTTGCTTACTTGGCAATGAACTCGCCGACTTCCCATGTCTTTCTGAGGAACAATTTCAAACACCAGCATGATTTTCACTATAAGGCTTATTGCCATTAGGCACCTGCTTCCATCTCCGGTCATTTTTTGACCACCATTATATATTCTGGTTCCTCCAACTCTATGTATTTTACACATGCTCTTCCCTCTTTTTGCCCTAAGTAATTAAACTTATTTATCTGGAAATTCTGTTCTCCTCTCACCATTTTTGGGCAGACATTGAGACTTTCTCAGGAAGGGTTTTGGGCAGCTCTTTGTCTTCCTCATGTATGACCATGCCTTTTCTATTTGCCCTATTTTATCCAGTATGTAGTTTTCCTCATTAGACTATAAACTACATAAATTTAAAAGGCACAGGACTTATTCATCTTTGTATGTCTTCATCTTCTCTTATATGAGGACATAGTAGATTCTCAATAATTAGTTTATTGAATGAAAAAATAAATGAGTAACAGGAAAAATGTTTTGTCCAAATAAATGCTTAATAAATATTTGCTATAGTAAGTTGCATATGGGAACTCAGGAGCCCAAAATTATGACTGCTTTGTTAAACTGTCATTGATCAGCAATATCATGATAAGATTTGCTGGACTAAGCTGGCATACTTACTCAAAAATACCAATATCTAATCACGTTCTCCTAAGAAAAGAACCTTCTCAGTCATACTTCTAACAAGGACCTGCTGAGAGTTACAATTCTTAGGAGTAATAGAGTAGAAGACAATTATGTTAACAAACTTCTCACCTTTCCAACTAACGCAGGGATATTCATTGAGTTAGTTGCAAATCCCATCCCAAAGACCATAGCTGCTTCCACATTCAGGAACTTAGCCACAAGGTCCTCCAACTCCTTGTGCTTATCCAAAGTGCCTGTACATAAAATTGCATGAGGAGTAAGCCTTCTCTTTTCAACAAGGCCAAGATTGAAAACTCAAATTCCAGTACATACACATCACCAAAAGACCTATACAGGAGTGCTCGTAGCAGGAATATTTGCCATTGCCCCAATTTAGAAACAACTGAAATATTCAAATATTGTAGAGTGGGTTATTACAATATGGGATATTTGTATAGTGAAATTTAATACAGCAATAAGAAAGAATGAACTACGGCTCCACACGACATTGTGGATAAATCTGACAAATCTATTGTTTAGTGAAAGAAGTCAGACATCTAAAAAAGTACAGGCTATGTGAGTTTGTTTATATAAAGTTTGCAAATGGACAAAACAAATTTATAGTGTTAGAAGTCGGGGCCAGGCGTGGTGGCTCAAGCCTGTAATCCCAGAACTTTGGGAGGCTGAGGCGGGTGGATCATAAGGTCAAGAGATCGAGATCATCCTTGTCAACATGGTGAAACCCCGTCTCTACTAAAAATATTTAAAAAATTAGCTGGGCATGGTGGCGTGTGCCTGTCATCCCAGCTCCTCGGGAGGCTGAGGCAGGAGAATTGCCTGAACCCAGGAGGTGGAGGTTGCGGTGAGCCGAGATCGCGCCATTGCACTCCAGCCTGGGTAACAAGAGCAAAAAACTCCGTCTCAAAAAAAAAAAAAAAAAAAGAAGTCGGGATAGTGGTTACTTTTGTTAGGAGCATGAGGAGGGTTTTTAGAGTCTCTGAATATTCTATTTCTGCATTTGTTACATAGTTACGTTTGCTTTGTGAAGCTCCATTGAGTTGTGTTCTTACCACTGGTGCACTTTTCACCACGCCATAAATAAAATAAAATGTACAAAGAATACCACAATTCTTCTCTCTTTTTACTCTGTATCTCACAAGTAATTAAATTATAACCCCATCAGTTTCCCCACACCTAAATGCAAAACACATCCCATGACTTCCACAGATACCAGTAAAACTAGTTATAATTCACTGAACCTTTGATGTACTAGATACTGTGTTAAGCCCACTATTTAGGTTCCATCATTTAATCTTAGAAGCCCAATAATGCAGTCGTTTTACTCCACAGTTAAGAAAACTGAGGCCTAAGAGGTTACCAATAAAAAGCCACAGAGATAATCTAGTCTAACTCCAAAGTTCATGTTTTCACCTTTTTACAATCTCTTATATGCTTGCCCTTTGATCCCTCCTTAAACAGAATCCCCTTGGTTTGTTACAGGAAATGTTGATGCTCCCCATATTTTCCGTTTGCTGTCGTGTGAACTTCTTTGTCTGCACAGTTCAACATGGTAGCCACCAGCTACATGTGGTTACTGCAATTGAGAAACTGAATTTCAAATTTTGTTTAACTTAAAATGTAAAGCTAAAGCATAGTAAAATGTGTTTCACCAACTGCAAATTTATTTTTTGATAGCATTACATTTCATGTTAATTAATGGAAATTTAATGTTTTCATTAACGTGCTGTAAGTGTAAAATAGGTATCATTTTCTGAAGGCTTAGTACAGCAACAAAAAGAATGTAAATAGCACATTGTTTTTTCTTTTTCTTTTTTTTTTTGAGAAGGAGTCTCGCTCTGTTGTCAAGGCTGAAGTGCAATGGCATTATCTCGGCTCACTGCAACCTTCACCTCTTGGGTTCAAACAATTCTGCCTCAGCCTCCCAAGTAGCTGGGACAACAAGTGCACATCACCATTCCAAGCTAATTTTTTTGTATTTTAGTAGAGACACCATTTCACTGTGTTGCCCATGCTGGTCTGGAACTCCTGAGCTCAGGCAATCCACCCACCTTGGTCTCCAAAGTGCTCAGATTACAGGCGTGTGCCATCATGCCCAGCCTGATATTTTTTACATTGATTACACATTTAAATGGCAATAATCTACATATATTGTGTTAAATAAAATGTATAATTACATTGATTTTACCTGTTTTTTTACGTATTAAATTGGCTATTAGAAAATTTAAAATTATACATGTGTCTTGCCTCGTGTTTTTATTGAGCAGTGCTTTCTAAATGCTTTAACTGAGAGAACAGAAAAATGTGCAAGTGGAGAGATGTTGTAATTTGCACACATAGAACATAGGTGCTGTTGCTCAGATTTAAGTTACAGAAGTATTGTTAGCATGTTTAGGGCTGCTATAAACATACTTTCTTCAGCCTAGGGATCAACTTAGTTTACTATATGATGTAAGAATTTATTTAAATTGGTAAATTCATTTTCTTACTGTGCTAAATGGTAAGAAGGTATTGAATGGTCAGTTCTAAGATTTATATTGCATTTCATGTTGAAGAGGACACTTGGTGATCTTTGCCCTTCATGAGAGGTCACACTGTTTGAAGGGCCTTTCTTTTCAGACTAGAGTTTATTTATCCCCAAAGTTGTTAGAAGTCATAGTCAAACAAGTATTCTACTAGTCAGTCTGACTCAAGATTTGGTGAAATGTTAAAAGTTTAAATTGTAATTTCAAACTTTGTGTTATCACAGATATATTATAGAACAGAAAGAGAAACTGAAATTTAAGAAGAAAACATGGGCATATCATTCGCCAGATTTGCTTGTACCTAAAAGCGACTTCTTCCCAGTGGGAATGGTTCCAAGAAAAGGCAGTGAAAAGGCCAACAGCCTGGGCATGAGGAGACTTAGGTTCTGGCTTTAGCTCTTCCATTACCAGCTGTGTAGCCTCTGGCTACCTTTCTTGAAAGCTTGAAGAGGGATGGAGAGAAATGCCATTTTAGGCTTTCCCAGTGTTAGTCATGCTATTTCCTTCACACGAAATCATCTTTTTGCCCTTCATCTTTTTTCTGACGCCTTTCTTAGCTTGCCCTGGGAAAACTGGTCATTTTTCTCTTCTGAGATTGAATAACAGCTATCATATGATGATTATAGCACTTATTCTGTTGAAATGAGAATGTTCCCAGGGCAATCTTCTCTAGTACAGAGTCCTTGGGATGCAGACACTGTGTGGGAGATCCCATGACTTCCATAGATACTGACAATAGTCTCACAGATGGTTAAAGTCTCAGACATTCTATGATGGTGTCATAGATGTTTGTCTTGGCAACCACAGTGTCTAGCACAGTGCTGACACATAGTAGGTACTTGTAGAGTTATAAGGGGTCCTTTGATGAATAATGAAGACAGGGCTGAGCTTAGTGTAGGAGAAGACAGAGAGGAAGATCAAAAGGCCATGCAATGACAAGGAATGAGGTGACTAGGCAGTGAATACTAGCTTAAAGACATTCATTTCTAGAGAAGTCTTCTAGTAAAGACAGGGTGCCCAAACTTTGCCAACTTGATGTAGTTCCCCTTTCCTGTCCAGAGGGTCAGGTGACAACTAGTCCAGTCACCCAGAAGTGCATGAGTAGAAGTTCATGATGCATCTCCATGGTGTCTTTCTCCACCTTTAATCTTTACAAAACCTGCTGTCTCAGGAGTTTATCTACAACAGTGGCAACACTAAAAGTTGTTAGGATAATATGGGATGTGTTGTCATGTAATAAAACAGATAACTCATGAGGAGTGGGTGTGTTTAAGACCATTTTGAGAAATTGTTCACTACAAGGCCTTTTCCATTAGACCTGGCTTAAAGAGAGGGGAGAGGCTAGGCACAGTTGCTCACACCTATAATGCCAGCACTTTGGGAGGCTGAGGCAGGAGGATCACTTAAAGTCAGGAGTCTGAGACCAGCCTGGCCAATACAGTGAGAACTCCATCTGTAAAACATAAATAAAAAGTAAAGTAGCTGGGCATGGTGGTACACACCTGTAGTCCTAGTTATTTGGGAGGCTGAGGTAAGAGGATTGAGCTTAGGAGGTTAAGGCTGCAGTGAGCTATGATCACACCACTGCATGCCAGCCCAGGTGACAAAGCAAGATCTCATCTCTTAAAAAAAAAAAAAAAAAAAGAAAGAGAAAAGCAAGGGAAGAGAGAAGAAGGGAATGCAGCTGTCCATCTGAGGTTTGAGGTCCCCAGACACAGTCCTTTTTCGAGATTTCCAGTGGACATATGATTAGCAAAGTGATTTTTAGCCCGTAGATGCAAGACCAATTTCTATGACCAGATGCCTCACAGCTGAGTTACAAGTTAAGAGCAGTTTTGCATCTAGGGGCTTACTTTCATTTATATAGAAAACAATAATTCCCAAAGTTCATTTTCATGGAGTTTCTCTGTTTAGTGTTCTTAGCTCAGATTTTATAAACAAACTTGAAAGATTCCAAGGATGGCTAAAGGTCTTTCCCCACTTCTGCTTTGGGAAGCCATGCCTTTGAAAGTCAGATTGGACTGGTCTAGGGTGAGGGGGGTTTTTAAAGGAATAATGAAAAATCTTCCTTTTAGTCAAGTGCTGCTTTTCTCTTCCTGCTCTTCATATTCAAAAAATAAGACTATAGGAAGAGCTTGGGGAAATAAAGTCATCACTAGAAGCTTTGCTTCCTACAAACATTCGTTCAGGCCATACCCTGATTGAGTAAAGGTGTCAACTTGCAGTTGGTGGTCCAAGTACTTGGGTAATTCTAGAAATCAAATACATTTTGTCTTTGGTATATAAATATTGGCAGTTTTTAAATCCTAAGAAAGCATAGTTATAATGCTAGCTGAAGGTATAAATAAATCCACAATAGTTTTTTTTTTTATGTTTCTCTCTGTGACATTTTAGTCTCTGAAAGTCAGTAACAGCCATAAATTGGCTATTGACAGCGGATCTCCAAATGGCTATTATGCATGTAATGAATCTTATTTTTGTCCTGGTGGTTCATTTATCCAGGCTTATACTCAAAAATCTACATTATGAATAAAATAATAAACACAAACTGGAAGTTTTCTCTTGTCAGCTCTCTAAGTAGTTTTTTCATGTGCCAAGCACCACATTCGCTGCCATCAGTCAAATCAAAAATTAGATTAAAGATAAAGGGCCAGGAGTGTATTTATGGACTATATGCATGTCTACTGAATTTTTATTGATACTGACTGGCT